TCTTCTTTTGTGCTCAATAGAAGAAAGAAACTCATACAGCTTTGGAACAACTTGAGGGTGAGTAAATGACGACAGAACTTTCATTTTTGGGTGAACTGTCCCTTTAAGTATATTAGTTTGTTTGTTAAAACTGTGTAGTCCAAATGAATGGAAATTTTATATGCAATTAAAATACATAATCTTAAATATTAGGCCTAAATTGCTTGGTGTGAGTAACTGAGTGTAGTAAAAACAATATGGGTTTTTAAAAATCTTAATGTTTTCTCTGTTTGAAAGTGATTTCTTTCACCACTGAGCATAAAATGTTTTTTCTCTGTTTAAATACCGTATTTCATAGCCATGAAGAGCTTTTAAACTTGTTAAGCCGTTACATATACAAAGCATTTAAGTATGATCACGTCTCCACGGGATAAGAGGTTGTGTTGAGGGTGGTGCTGATTATTTCCATATAAATATTCCATATAAATCATTTTGAATACAACTTGAAACATTCAAAATATGCACATGTTCTAAGTTGACACTCACAAAACTTGCTGAAGAAGTTTTACTAATTCGCACATTATCACTAAATCAATGTTTCCTAATAATTCCAGCTGCTGGAAACTAACAGTTTAGATTCTTGATATCTATGATGACAGACTGCATGAACTTGGCCAACAAACTTTGTTAGCTTTGCTGTGACCATATAAGGACCCTTGCTCAAGTCTGGGACAGGCAGAGCCTACGCAGCACAGATCTGCCTGTAAAATTCAGCTAAAGAAAAACAACTTTGCCAGTGAACATTTATCAAAACAACTGGCCGATTTGAACTTCGCGGGTGGCCCCTAAGATATGTTGTCATTATGCAAGAATCCAACTTAAGGTTTGTTTACAACATTGCCCAAGTGTCCAGCAAAGACAGTTAACCATCATTATTTAACTGTACAAGAAAACTACATTTATATAAAACCTTAAGTTTTGACAATATAGGCCCAGCTTCGTGGTTACAATTATGATAAAAATGTATCACTTTTCTCCAAGAACAAAACTTTCAAGATGCACTAAATGTAACATAAGCTAAAGAAAACTAAGATGAGCTGCTGGTTTTATTTGATCCAAGCTGAAAACCAGCAGGGTCTTCTGAAAGTCTATTTGTGTGTTTCATTCTAAAAAAAAATGAGACAAACTGGAGAAACGGCCATGATAAAAGAACAGACTACAATGGATATGCGTCATCGTCACCAGGTACGCTGCCAGCCTACTATAAACTGCGTTATTATTAAATCGTCCTCATCATAATAGTAGCCTGTAGTCTCACCTCAAGCAGCTGGATTGGATGTTGAGGGTCTTGAGCTCTCTGGCTAAGTGTGAATCCCCAGGGCGTTACGCATAAAAAATCTGGCGTGTCCATCCTCCTGCAGCTGTCCTCCAGTCTGAGAGAAGTCAAGCTTCTCCTGTGTGTTATCTGAGGCTGTCTTCGGTGGGTGTAAAGCCAAAACAGCTGGAGTCCGGCCCTCTTTTCGGCGTCATTCTTGAGAGACCATCCTGAGGAGAGTGTTCTTTTACTCGTGACAAAACGCAAATGCATTTAGAGTGATGAAAAGCTCCTGGATGAGGAATATCTCTTGGCAACCCTTGTGAAAAAGAAATAAACTTTAACATACTTTCAAAAAAAAAAAAAAAGTGCGGAAATAATATAAGCTATACTTAAGTAACTAAATGTGTGTTGACCCTGTAGCAGCTCTTTACAGTATTCAAAACATGAAATCTAATAGAGAAGATTTAATGCTAGAAATCCATCAAAATTGATTTTGATTGCGGAGGCTTCAGATAGATGTGAGATTCTGCTGGGTACCTGCTCATGTAAATATAAAAGGGACAAAATAGCAAAGAAATCAAGCAGGGCGAGCGATATTATAAATATTCCCTTTGGTAAAGGAGAAGCTAAGGCAATAATTAAAAAAGAAATGATGAAGAAATGGCAGGACAGATGGGACATGGATAATAGTGGAAGGAAATATTATAGTATACAGAAATTTATCAACGCACAGGGTGTGAATGGAAGGAATAGAAGGGAGGAGTCAGTTCTAACCAGGCTGAGGTTTGACCACACAGGGTTAAATAAAACATTGTTTTTGTTAGGTAAAAGTAAATCAGATGAATGTATGGAATGTAAAATCACAGAAAATGCAGAACATATATTGTTACATTGTAGGAAGTATGGGGAAGAGAGGGTTAGATTAAACCAAAAGATAAGTCAGACAGGAAGAAAATGGAACCTTGAGGGTGTTTTGGGAACAACAGGAGAAGGGGTTAAAGATGCACAGGATGCTGTTGTGGAATATCTGAAGGATACAGGGGTATATTATAGGATTTAGATAGTAGTGGTATAATATTTATGTATTATTATTTTTTTATTTTTTTCTGATAATGTAAAGTGCATTCATTGAGATATAATCCATGCTGCATACTCCGATACAGTAGGCGGCGGTATGCACATGATAAGTCATGGTTGCAATCCGCCATAAAACTAACAAGAAGAAGAAGAAGAAGAAGAAGAAGTAATTAAATGTAATGATAAATGCAGTCAATTGCAATTCAAATGGATTAGTTTAAATTTATATTTGGGAACTTTCGAGTAGTACTTTTTTGATCCACTTAAGTAGGACTTAAGTACATTTTTATTTGCAATTTTATAATTACTTCCATTGTTTTTGAAATATGGTTAAAGTACTGTTGAATGTAGGCCATAATGACAAAATGAAAAATTTCTTCCTTTATCAGGCTAATAGCTATTAAGTTTTTAAGTTGTTTTTTAAGTTGTCTAAAATTAAGATTTATTTAGTTAGTTAGTATTTGTAGAACCGTGTCCTCCTCAAATACATTAAAATAAAATAATATTGGTCAAACTAATGCTTTATTTATGCTAGCATTTCCACTTTTGTTGTTTCCTGAATTGTTTTGTTTAATCTTTGTTTTGTTGTTTAATTATTGCTGAAAAGCCAAAGGCTTATAACACATCTTAAATACAAATGTTTTGAGATTTATTTATTTACTTACATAAGATACTTATTTTTCATATTTTACACTATAAGATATTCTTCTCAAATCAAAGTCAGTTAACAGCTTGTTTCCATTGTGACTATGGACTATGGTCCCATTCCACTTTTAATGAAGTTTGTTATTGAAGTCTCACAGAACTAGAGCCAAAGGAGTGACACTGTTAATCAAGATGTTCATTAGCAAAATCAAATTAAATCAATCAGAGGAACAAGACCAGAATATTTTACATGCTTAATGCCACTGTTCATACACCCAGGAGGTAATAAAGACCAGCACTAAAAGAGCTTGCTTATTATACTGCAGTATAATAAACTTGACAGATCAATTTGGACTAAAAGGACTGAGGAAGACTAGATCTAAGGGTCAGGATTAGTCTATCAAAGACCAACAGAGAAAAAGAACTGCTCTACTTCAGAAAATGTAGACTCAAAGCACCAAAGCCAAAAGATTACAGACTTTACATATTCCTATATCTTATAGCTATGAGATATCCTTGTGAAAAATAAGTGTGCTTAATTGTATTGAATGTATATTTCAAATCTTAATCGTATAAAATATAATGAAATAAAAGTCCACTTAAGTATATTTTACATAAAATGTACATAAAATCATTGTTTTAATAATCCTTTGTCATGCTTTAAATAAATACACAGAAATTGATGTGTTGCCTTAAGCACATGTAAAGTACTTGATTATAATTTTAACCATAGTGTGGCATTCCAAATTACATTTAAAGTTAATATATATTAAATGTACTAAATTGCAACTCCCTCATTACAAATATATGACACAAAACTTTCAATCGAAATTACAGTAAAGTATATTTTAGTTTACCAAATACTTGTCAATACATTCAGCAGCACACTTTAAGCATATTTCAAAGATAATAGAATTGTGAAATTACACAAAAAGACGTACTTAAGTGGGCCAAAAAGCACTCTAATGTACTTTATAATGTCTTCAGAATCCCTCACAAAATACAAAGTATTATAACTGTAACAATACTTTCCATAGTGACTTGTATACTGTCCAGTGTTGGGGGTAACGCATTACAAGTACCGTGAGTTACGTAATCAGATTACTTTTTTCAAGTAACTAGTAAAGTAACGCATTACTTTTTAATTTACAAGAGAATATCTGAGTTACTTTTTCAAATAAGTAACGCAAGTTACTTTTTTTTCCAATTTATTGATTGACAGCTCTGCTGTCCCCATGTTGAGAGAAATCAGATGTTACTGTAGATCTAAAATAAATATGAATATGCATTAATTCATCTCACTCACAAAAAACAAAACACAGATTCAGTATTCCGCAAAATAAATACAAATGAATAAATGAATAAAAATAATGCAGCTCAGAATGACGCAAACCTGCAATAATTAAATGTTAAACAACACAAATATCCTTTATGTATTTAATCCCGTTCTATTTGCGTCTGACCTTCGATGATCCAGTTCACCTCCAGATCTCCTGTACGGACGTAAATTTACATTTCCTTCAGCCTGAGGCTTATTCATTTCACTTTTGGTGTGAAAAGGCTTTTATATTTGCCAAAAATATAACTTTTTTATTTTAAAAACAAACAAGCAAGCACTGTCCAGATTTAAGAAGTAACGCAAAAGTAACGTAACGCATTACTTTCCATAAAAAGCAACGGAATACCGTAATTAGTTACTTTTTTATGGAGTAACGCAATATTGTAATGCATTACTTTTAAAAGTAACTTTCCCCAACACTGATACTGTCACATTCAATATACTGTGCACAAGACCAAAGAACAGAAAAATACACACATGATGAGCAATGTTGAATAATGTTATTATTGCGTTTTTGTCAGTTTACATTCATTATGCAGGCTATTCAAGAAGCACCCACAGATCAGAACGAGCTCGTTTCATATCAGAGACCGATGACAGCATGGCGTTTGGGGGCATCCTTGCTGACGTGTAGTGGTTCCCATCAGTGTGCGCATGCGCAGAGGCGGCGGCTCGATGTACGCAACACCGGCGCTGGGCTGGAGTTTGACGTGGCACTCTCGGCACGCAATTCAACATCAGCAGAGGAAAGGACGCATCGTTTGCCTTCAGGTAAGTCTCTTTGTTATGCACGAATAACCTAACAAACTAAAATGGGATTTGAAAGGCAACCTTATGTTGACCGCGGTCTATAAGCGCCATTCTTTATATGCAAATATATTTGTAAGTTTGGCTTATACAGTAGAGTAGGCTATACCAGTTTCCGTCTCTAGCGGAAAATATTTCGTAACTTTGTATCGCCCACAGCTGGTCCACGCACATTGTTGTCAGTAGGCCTATATCGATTCTATATATCCATGGCATATGCTGAAGTCTTTAAATATGCACTTTATTCAGTAAAGTGAAACATTACAGGTCTTTGACGTGGCAGGTCAGGCTGATACTGTAACATCTCTGTTATGACACCGCTGATCTGAATATCGTGTGTGCTGAATGATATATACATGAAATATTATATTTCCCTGAGAGCTACCGAAGGCCTCTTGCAGAAATACTGACGTGACGTCCCAGACAACAACAACAACAACAACAAAAGCTTATTGTGACTACGCACACTGTAGGCCTATAATTACCTTGTAAAATGCGAGTTATTTGAGTGCAAAAAAGAGCTGCAATAAAACCTGTTTGTTGATCAAATGCAATGGTAAAGCAATATTATATTTTAGAAAACCATACTTGACATTTTACTGATTTATTTGAAATAAACACAAAGTATCACCTTTATAGTTTATGGGAAATTCCCTGCATGAAAATGAATGTCTGTTTGTTTTTAATGTCAGTTATGTACAGTAGACTCGTTATATGTTGCATTTTAAGTTATGAAGTATTTTTTACCACCCTGTTTTGTTGTTTTAGGCCATTTTTGATAAACTTGTAATCATCACGTGGCCTTCTATTTTATTACCAGTATTAAAACCGGTGCATTTTAGAGTAACAAACAAGAGTTTAATAGCTCAGATAGGTTGACTAAGTTAACATTAATGATATTTACTGTTAAGAACTTTAAAATATACAGTTACCATAATGATGTCAGTTTTAATGTTAATTAATTTGAGGGTTGAATACAATAGTCAAACCATTATATTCATATATGGCCGATTGTGTTCTCATAAACTAAAGTTCATGAACAAAGTTCCTGATCACGCGTGCTTAGGGTTGAGGTAATCATATCAGGTCAACTCTAAACTGTAGAAAACATTTAATTATCTCATCATTTTACAACAAACTGCTTCTGGGTGCTTAGTTAATTTTATTGAATGTGCACTTGTGGAATACCTCAAGTTTTTTTTTTTTTTAAGTTAAGATAATATAATATAAGTTAAGTAAAATGCTGCTTGAGTGTACTTAAAAAAGAGACACTTAACACTTTAAAGTACACTTTTAAAAAGTGCACATTGTAATAATGTCAAATTAAAATGTAAGATGTCGTTCTTTAAAAAAGTACACTTATTTTGATGTGTTGACTAACATACTAACGCCCAGTTTCACAAACGGGGCTTAGTTTAAGCCAGGACTAGACCTTAGTTAAATTAAGATATTTAAGCAACTTTTACAAAAATGCCTTAGAAGAAAACATTACAGGTGTGCATCTTGACACAGAACAATGACACTGACATATTTTAAGATATGTCAGAGCAAGATATTTTCAGTTGAGACAGCTCAAACATGCATTTTAGTCTGGGACTAGCTTAAGCCTTGTCTGTGAAACCGGGGGTAAATGTACTAAATTGCAACTTAAATTGTAATTACAAAGTTGGAAATACAAGTATATATTTAAACACATGGCACAGAAGTTTCAATAGAAATGACATTAAAGTATGTTTTATTTTACCATAAATGCTTGTCAATAAATTCAGCAATACACTTTAACCATATTTCAAAGACAGGAGCAGCAATTATGAAATTACATATAAAAATGTACTTCAGTGGATAAAAGGCACTCTAAAGTGCATTTAATATAAATTTAAATTATAATACATTTAATTTCATTGCAATTAAGTGCCCGAAAACATTACTTTCAGTACGCACTTAAGTATATCCTTTCCATAATTAGTACTCTTTTTTTCAAAGTATGCTAAAGTATACTTATTTTTCCACAATGGTTAGTATAGGGCCGAATGCAACACATAGATTAGAAGTTTCATGACTACAACATTAAAAGTTCATGTGTATTTTTTTGTTTTGAAACCCGCAAAATAAATTCACCCTCTTTATTCCAGGTCACCCTTTTTTGTCCCAGACTGGAACGAAAGACGTATAACAGTAGGATGAGTCAGCAAGGTTATGTTGCCGCCCCTCCATACTCCCAGGCCCAGGCTGGAATGGGGGGATACTCTGCTGGTTTTGGGAACCCCCCACCTCAGTCGCATTATGGCGCCTATGGATCTCCACCACAGGGTTATTCCGCCCCTCCGACAGGTAAAGTGAATCTTCTTTTGTTGAGTTCAGTTCTAAAACTGGCAAGTTTCATCTTGTCCTTATGATATAGGAATCTCAGCAGCGCTTCAGCTTAAATAAATAAGCAGTGTCAATCCATTATGAAACTGCTTTTCATTATAGTGTCAGCTGTTCCTGTATACTCTTTAGTTTATATGCTGAAATTAATTTTGTCACAGTATTATCTTCTCGCATGATTCTGTACATGTAAAATGAATGCTGTTTTTTCCAGGTGTGCTCAAGCCTCCTGCCTCCTCTCCTTCTGGGATGCCTCCACCACCAGTATCCAGCCAGTATGGTGCTAATATTCAGCAGAATGGGGCCCATCCCCACAGGTGAATACTAGTTCAATGTGATGAAGCATTGTTGAAATCACAACTTTAAATAATAATAATAATTTTTTTGCTCCCGTCAGTTTCCCTCCACCTGTTGCTTCAGCTCCTTCCATGTCTCCTTATGGACAGCCTCCTCAAAGTGCTTTTCATAGTATGGCACAAGCCCCACCTCCAACTCAACAGCTGACAAATCAGATGAGTGCCATGAACATTGGAGGATATGGTAAGTTAGATGGCATTTTATATTGATTTTAAGTGAATTGACTTTCAGATGGCCTATTTTATACCCATGCACTGTGATCTTTAGGCCAAAGGCCCATGCAGGTACCACAGTCTCCTTCCAGCTCAGCAGCACCACAACAATATCAAACATCACCACCACTAGCAATGGGACATCCGCTCCTTTTTCTACCAGGACAGCAGCCGTCCTCTCTTGGATCTCCTCCACCAATGGCCACGATGGGTTCTATGGCAGCTCCGCCAATGGGAATGTCTGGCCCACCTCGACCAGGTGTCCACCAACCACCACTGGGACCCCAAGGCTATCCACAGCAACCAGGTAAGAACTAGGTGACATATCATGAAAATCTGACTTTTCCAGGTTTTAAGTGCTATAATCAGGTCCCCGGTGCATCTACCAACCAAGGAAACGTGAAAAAGATTAACTCAGTAACTTTGTTTTGGGACGCCTTTTTCTGCAAGCGTCTGAGAAAACGAGCACGTCTGATTTCGCTCCCTTGGTGACGTGGCAAAGGGATCTCATTATAATATTACCGCCCCTTAATCTGTAAGTTTACAGCCACGGCGCCGATATTGTGTTTTCGCAAGCGACAACGGTGTAATTCTAGTTCTAATGCCATGGTGAAAGTTTGAGCAAAACATGCTAACTGTTCTGTCTTTGGCTGCACAGACGAGCACAGAACATTATTTAGAGTCCCAGCCTCAGAGGAGACAACAGAGCAGTGGATTTATTGATTTATTTACTGT